GAGGAATATGAAAATTAAAATCTGCCATAAGAGAAGGCATGCGCCTGCTAGTACAGTTTCAGTCATCTGCTTCCAGTGGGGTCCGAACCCAGATCTCGATAGAGTCTTACATACCTTCCTCGGCCTTTTGGCTAAAAATAGATCAAGTGAAATGTATCTGTTCTGATCAGTTTCATATCTGATCCGCGGTCCATCCGGCCATCATTTGGAAAAAAAAAAAAGAAAAAAAAAAGGATCTCTATTGCACTAGTTCCGGGGTGTAGCAACTGAGGCCCCGTTGGTCTCTGCCAATCGTCGTTCCTGTCCTTCCCGCGCCCCTTCCGCTCCTTACTTAAAAAAAAAAAAAAAAAAACAGAAAATGCAATGCCCGTACTATGGTAATGCCTGTTAGAATGAAGCCGGTCCGCCGACCAGGTGCATTAATTACTGTGCATCTGGAAGGTTCTGACGTCAACGTAAATTCTGCCGTGCCTGTTAGAATGATGAAGTCAATCCGCCGACCAGGTGCATCACTGTGCATCTGGATGGTTCTGACGTCAACGCATATATTCTGCCGACCAGGTGCATGACTGCGCCATCTGGATGGTTCTGACGTCAACGTAAATTCTGCCGACCAGGTGCATTACTGTGCATCTGGATGGTTCTGACGTCAACGTATATTCTGACAGACGCGCTGTAATTCCTTTTTCAAGTTTTTCTTTTTTCTTTTGCAACCTCTCCCGCAGGTTGACCGTTCCTTAAAAAAGAAAAATAAGAAAAGAAAAAAAAAAAGCTGGCCTTTTCTATTTTTAGCAGATCAGATTATAGCTTTCTTTTTTCTTTTTTTTTCTTTTTTTTTGACATCCCACCCCCCGCCACATATGGCAGGTCGTATGAAACTTTCATCGTACGACCTGGCCTACGTAGCTCAGTTGGTAAACCCATGAACTGATGAAATACAGACCCAGAAGGAGGAGGAAGAGAAAGGGAAAAAAAATAATAATAATAAAAAATCCTCGCCAGAAACTTGAGATTGCATCGGCACCCCTCTCCAAACATGTCTGTAAAGCGCTGCACGGCCAGGTGCATGAATGTATTTGGACAGGAAACCCGTCTCTCCACATACAGTATCAGAAGGAGCAGAATGCACTTTCTAATTCGCACGTGGCCTTTCGAAATCGCCCAATAAGTAAAACATAATAATAACCTATTACCTAGGCTACGATAGTGGTCGGGTCCAAATTACAAAAAATATATATTGACACATAAATATCAGAACGCAAAAGCAAAAAAAAAAAAACAAAAAAAAAAAAAAAAAAAAAAAAAAAGGAAAAAGACCATGAGTTTAAATTAAAAAAACAAAAAAAGGAAAAAATGAATTCGTTTGTTTATCTTCTTCCTTACAACTCCCCCTGTTCAGACCCACCTCTTGCGTACAAGGCTATAGATCGTTAAACAGAGCTCCCCGGTAGCCGTAGGCAGAGAGGGCGAAGTATAGGGCGAAGTATATACATATATATCGTCATATATATATCGTCATAAATATTATTATATTTCAATTTTATTTTTTATTTTAATATTTTTAAATTTGATTAGGAATTTCGATTTGACCCTGAGGAAAAAGTTGTTCAGTAACTCCAGTTTATATTTCCGCATACCATTTTTATTTTTTTTTTCATATTTTCAAGGCTACCAGAGTGGCCCGGGGACCACTTGCACGACCGGACCAAAAATAAATAAATAAAAAGAAGATAAAGAAATATTTTCTTTTATGTTAAAACTGGCAAAGAATTTCTATGTGACCTTGAGGCAAAAGTTGTTCGGTTTATTTTTCTGCATAACATAGTTTTCTTTCGGATTTTCTGGATTTTTTATTATTATCTTTTTTTGCTGTGAGCCTGGGACCTTCCCTGGTCCTTGCATGGCCCGGCCGCCCGGGAAAACAAGGTGACCCGGTCGGCCCGGTTCATAGTCCAGCCTATTACTC